GCCCCAGGAGATGATGGGCAGAGAGTAGGTACTCAATGCATGGAGTTGACTTTGATGTGCTGATATTTCAGTTTTGAATAAATAATTATAAGGAAGTGAAAAACGTATGCACTGCTCTAGAGAACCTTCTACTGGGGAATAAAATCCAGTCTTTCTCTCTTCCAGATGGAGCTCAGCCTGGCACTCTAACCGGTTCTCTGGGTGTACTGCAAAGGTCTAATAAAAGGCACCTTTGCCCAGTTGCTTCAATTCTAGGAAGCTGTTCAATGTTTGACTATATTTCTCCATACTCATTTGAAAACGGTTCATCAGGTTAGTTCAGTTGAATTATTGCTCCTTGGGAGTTTTCCAAACCCTGGATTTCCTTCGGAGAGAGCTAGATTCAATTCCCTTCTTGGAATCCAGCTCCTTGCCCCTCTCTGTGACCCCTGATCGCAAATGCAGTATAATATCCTGCCACCTCCTGCACTGAGAGAGGACTCCCTGGCCTCCTGCTTAGAGATGGAATCTCATCTCTTGGGATTTTCAGAGCAAGAACGTTAGACAAGCTGTCTGTTTTCCTTCTTCATTTCTACAGTTTGGTCACCGACATTTTGGTAGCAGATAGTAGCAATAATGGGTACTCCTAAAAGTATATATATGGTAAGAAGAAGAAAAGGAAAAAATATCATTCTATCCAATCACATTTGTCTCCTCCATACCCCGTATGAAGTGTTACTCAGTAGATTTTGTTAAACAAACCACGGTGAAAGAACTTTCAGTACAATTCCATCCATGGTCACTTAGCACAGACTACATATCAGGGAGTCAAGGGAGACAGGGAAGAATTCTGAACCCACATAAACAAACTCCTTAGAATCAACTTTAGCAAATGCAGCACCTGGCTAGGGCAATTCTCGAATCTCCTAAGGAACACCAGGACAGGTAGACTGTTAGCCAGAATGTTAGACTGTTAGCATGAAACACATGCAGTGTTTCATGTTCTGAGTTTTCTTTCTTGTGAAAGTCTAGATTCCACTACCCAGTGAGAAAGAAAGGATGCAGGAAAGAAAATTTATTAGCAGATTGTCCACAAAGTCTCTTTCGAATAGTTTCAAATTTCACTCCCATCTCAACGGTCTTGAGTCTTTTGTCAGGGTGGACTGACCCTTTTAATTCTCCACCTACCTGTGGATAGAATCTAAACTCTTTTTTGTGCCAGTTGCTACATCAAAGGTTTTATTGCCATTTAATTCTCCAAGCAACCCTGATTGCTTGCCTTTTCTTATTTTTTCACCCAGTACTGCATTTTCAAAAAACTTCACATACTGCTAATTAGTGATTCCAGATGTGATTCCAGATAATTGTTTCTAACTACTGCATGGTAATCCATAAAGGGCACCTCTTCAATTTACTTTCCCATTTCTGCAGCTAAGGACCCCCTGGTTGCCTCTCTGGCCCAGCAATCACAGGTCTTGGCTGCATGAAATCCTCTTAGATTCCCTCTTCTGGACCCAAGTGAGGATTCTTTGGGATATTCTGAAAGGGAACTACTGATTCTAATGTACATAGATGCTCAATTTTTGTGAGTTTATTCTTTAGATCGGTTTCACTTCTATAATCCTAAGAACTGGACATGAAGAGTCATGTGTTCTCACATCTTAGACCTGGCATTATCCAGCTTTCCCATTTTTACCAATCTGATGAGTAGAAACTTATAACTCATTGAATTTGGTTTGCTTTTCCCTGATTTTGAGCTTTGTATTATTATGTGAACCATTTGGATTTTTACCTCTGTGATTTACCTGTCATATTCTTTGCCTCTGTTTATTTTTGCTTGTTTGTTTCTTTTTTTACTTTTATTTTTATTTTTGAGATGGATTCTCGCTCTGACGCCCAGGCTGGAGTGCAGTGGTGTGATCCTGGCTCACTGCAACCTCCGCCTCCCGGGTTCAGGCAGTTCTCCTGCCTCAGCCTCCTGAGTAGCTGGGACTACAGGCACCCACCACCACACCCAGATAATTTTTGTATTTTTAGTAGAAATGGGATTTCACCATGTTGGCCAGGCTGATCTCAAACTCCTGACCTCAGGTGATCTGCCCGCCTCGGCCTGGGAGTACAGGTGTGAGCCACCGAGCCCAGCCCTTTTTTTGTTTTGTTTAGTTTTGTTTTGTTTTGTTTTGTTTTGTTTTAAAGAGACAGGGTTTTACTCTGCTGCCCTGGCTGGAGTGTATGGTGTGATGCTAGTTCACTGTAGCCTTGAACTCCTGGGCTCAAGCGATCATCCAACCTCAGCCTCCTCAAGTAGCTACGACTACAGGTGCACACCACTACATCTGGCTAATCTTTTTATTTTTATTTTTGTGGAGACTAGATCTCACTATGCAGCTCAGGCTGATTCTGACCTCCTGGTCTCAAGTAATCCTCCCACCTTGGCCTCCTGAAGTGCTAGGATTGCAGGTATGAACTGCCATACCCAGCCCTTTGCCCCGTTTCTGATGGATTTTATGATCCTTTTCTTGTTAACTTACAGGTTACCCTCATATATCCTATATTGGTTGTTAGTCAGTTGTAAATGTTGCACATATTGTGTTTCAATTTTTTAATTTTTAACTTCATCTTTACAATTTTTCATTAAAAAGAAATCCTCAACTTTGGTGTCATCAAACACTTCTTTTTTTTTTTTTTTTTTTGCTTTATATTTGGTAATTTTAGGTCTTCTTTAGAAAGTTTCTCCCCACCTCTACATTGTAAAAACACTCTTCTAAATTTTCTTTTGTTAACCATTTAAGCTTTCCTCTCATACTGGATATCATATGCATCTGGAGTCCACCTTTGTGTACTATAGAAATATAGATGTTATTGGGCCAGGCGCAGTGGCTCACGCCTGTAATCCCAGCACTTTGGGAGGCCGAGGTGGGCAGATCACAGTTCAGGAGATCGAGACCATCCTGGCTAACACGGTGAAACCCCATCTCTACTAAAAATACAAAAAAATTAGCCGGGTGCGGTGGCGGCGCCTGTAGTCCCAGCTACTCGGGAGACTGAGGCAGGAGAATGGCATGAACCCGGGAGGCGGAGCTTGCAGTGAGCCGAGATCGCGCCAGTGCACCCCAGCCTGGGCGACAGAGCGAGACTCCATCTCAAAAAAAAAAAAAGAAAGAAAGAAATATAGATGTTATTCTTCTCCATATGGTGAACCAGTTTCTCAATACCATCTACTAAATAATCTAACCATTCCCTATGATTTTTAAACCATGTTAAACATGTTTCAAGTCCTCATTTATAAAGAGGCCTGTCTTCTAGGCCTCCATTCTGTTCACTGGTCTCTGTTCTCAAGCCAGAAACAGACCAATTTTACGATGATGGTTTTGTAGGAGGTCAGCATTTTGTAGGATAAGCCCCTCCTCCATATTCCTCTTCTTCACAGTTGGCCTAGCTCTCCTGGGGGACTTTACTCTTCTGTATCCATTTTAGCATTAATTTTTCTGTGTTCCACAACAATAAATTTTTTAAAACACATCCAGCTGGAGTTTTTTTTTTTTTTTTTGCAATTGCATTGCGTTGCATTTTCTCTTCATCCTTTAAATAAAACAAGACGTTTTTCTTCAGGTGTTTTTCAGGTGTAAGCTGAGTCTTTGAGACATGCTCTCATTTCACATAGTAAGTCAAGGTGAAGGGTGTAACTCCAGTGAGGAACACTTGCGCTCTTCTCCAGACCAGCACTGTCCCAGGGCACCCAGAGAAGCATTTTTGGTGCTGGGTTGGGATAGTTCTGTTAATGCCTGATCCCTTCTTGAGTAATGACTCTGCTCAGGAAACTGTGCCTCAGGGCTCAGATTTCCCACCATTTAAACTTGTGGCTTCTTGGCCTGGAGCTTGTTCCCTTCCCAAAATGTTTGTTAGTGCAATGGCTTTTTATGGCACTTTATGGAAAAATTAAGGGGTGGGGGTGATGACCGTATTCTGCAAATCAGCCCGTCTTTAACCTTCGTTTACTGGAATTTGAGTCCTCTGCATACCTTGTTAGCAGAAAAAACTTCAAATATATTTTTTTCCATCCAAGCTCACAATTGGAATGTTCTTTACCTCTTAACTCAGGCCAGGACAAATGTGGCCCAGGTTCTGAAAAACAGCCTCTTATTTAAAAGGGTTGTACAGCAGCCTTTGCACAACATTTACGACTGCAGTTATCTACACGTGGATCTGGAGGGGGCCTGGCCTGTGAGAATCAGAAGACAGAGGCCACTTCATCCTGCAAATTGCTCAGGCGGGCAGTGTTGGTGAACTCACCCGTCACTCCCCTGAGCCCCTTTCCAGCTTTAAAATCTTTCCTGGGAAACTATTGGATTAGAAAGGAGCCCTTCAGATGGTGGCAGTTTCTCTGCTTCTGGAAAAGGGGCTTAGGAGGCTTAAGATACAACCTAGTCTCAGATAAAGGGCGGGAAGTCAGAGCTATTGGCTGTGGTACTAGCAGAGGAACAAAGGCCAAAACAAGGTCTTCCAGACATGTCATGTTTTTCTTAGAACTAGGGCCTATATTACACACAAATTTGAGATTATCTCCAACATTTATCTAAAATTAACTGTGGTTTTCAAATGAAAAACATTTAGGGGAGGATCAGATAAGAAGGAGGCCTATTTATAATACTTGCCACGGGGAGGGAAAGGGAAGAGAAAAAGCAAGAGCGAGAACAAGAGTGAGAGCAAGAAAGAGAGAGAACGAGAGAGATCCTTAAAATGATACTAAACATTCTTGCGACACCATAAGCCATAACTCTGACTCTCTTTCCCTGCCTTTTATGAATAACAGAAAAGAGAACTTTTATCCTGATCCACCGTAGTTTCTTAGAGAAAATCCCGCTCCCAACTAGAATGCTGGATTTCCGTCTCATTCTGGATGTAGCCGGAATTGGGTTACAATCATTCTGAACCACTGAGTGTGACACAAGTCAAAATCTTTGTTCCTAGAGATTGAGATATTAGTCAGTGATGTCTGGCTCTGAAATGGTTATTTATAGATTGGAACGACCTGGAGCAGCCAGCAGAGTGACAAATGAGGAAGAGGACAGAATCCAGCTGAAGAAGCTCCGGAAGATACCATTTGAAGTCTGAGTGCTTGAACTCGCAAAGAAAGCACGTGAGTACACACTAGCACTTGAGCTCTTCATTTTAAACAGAATAAAGAATATACTGCTAGTATTGTCATTTTACAGATAGGGAAATTGAGACTCAACAAGGCTACCTGGATAGAAAGAAAATGAGCCAGAATTTCAAAAAAGCCTGACCTTAGAATCTACACCTTTTTTTTTTTTTTGAAACAGGGTCTTACTTCGTCACCCAGGCTGGAGTTCAGTGGTATTAGGTTGGTACAAAAGTAATTGCGGTCTTTGCCGTTTAAAACTGAAACTGCAATTAATTTTGCACCAACCTAATGCACTTACCAGAGCTCACTTAAGCCTTGACCTCCTGGGCTCAAGTGATTCTCCCACCTCAGCCTCCCAAGTGGCTGGGACTATAAGCAGGCATCACCCTGCCCACCTGCTCAGCTAGCTTTGTGTGTGTGCGTGTGTGTGTGTGTGGAGACAGGGTTTTGCCATGTTGTCCAGGCTGGTCTTTAACTCCTGAGCTCAAACTATCCTTCTGCCCTGGCCTCCCAAAGTTCTGGGATTACAGGCATGAGCCACTGTACCCGGCCCAGAACCTATGCTCCTAACTTCCACACCAATTGACCTTGATTCAGTCATTTTCATTTCTATAGCACTTGGCATAATTTCACTTTGCACACAGTATCTATAGATAATCATTCCAGGGCAAAGACAGAAAGAGCTAGGCCTGTGTGTGTTGAGGGAGGGATGTATTCAAAAGAGAAACTCCTTGAGGACAGCAGCAACAACCGTTCAAATAAGACACCATCTATGGAGCACACAGTGTGTGACCGCCGCTGCATGCTACTGCATATAATCATCATAAGATAATTTATGTTATTACATGTGTATTACTGCATGTAATCTTCATGTGTTATTGCCTCTAACAAGTTATGTATTTACATATAGTCTCATAACTGTGTATAGAAGGCCATTTTAGAGATGGAAAACTGAGACTCAGAAGCAGTAATTGTCTTGTTAGTCAGATTTAGCCAGGGTTTGGACTGTGAAATGCAGAGGACCACTTACCTTTCACTACACCATAAATGCTCCTCACCACTGAGGCATGTCAAATACCAGATATCTCCAGGAACCTTAGGCTACGTCTCCATTGTTTTTGCCTTTTTCCCCCCTAGGCACAGGTTGGCAAAGAACAAATGATCCCAAACACCAAACAGCCCAGTTGGAAACATTTAACCCACATACTTTCAGACTTTCTGGCATGGACCAACCTCTTGTCTTACCTTTGTTCCTGGCCAGAAAGAAATGGCATAAAAAGATGGACAGTTTTTGTAACCCCTTTGAGCTCTAAACCATTTTTCCTGTGCACATAGCAGATCTTACAGAAACCAAGCACTTCTTTTAGGCATCTATATTCTTAATGCCCTAAGTCAAGTGCCCAGATGGTTAAGACAACTGTACCAACAGAAACATTTTTTTAAAAATATCCTAACACAACATGAAGTGACCATCGCGAATTCAAAGAAGCAGGCATATTTCTTAAAGGTTGAAAAGAGGTGAGTCTTTCACAAGATGCTAGCTCAAGGCCATATTTGCACAAGTATAGTCATTCCTCTAGCAAGGTTTTGTTTATCTGGCCATTAAAAAAAAATTAAAACAACTTTTACTTTCGGCTGTTTGAACAAGGACTGTTTTTCCAGCTGTGCAGTCTAAGGATACAAGCGACCTGGTTTGGTTATATTTTTTCCAGAATAGGAGGAAAGTTTCCTACACAATTCTGCTCGGGCTAAACTGCATACAGAGCAGTTTATTTATACTGTTTTCTCGCCCACCTGTTTGGATATGTGCTATTTTCTGGTATTTAAACATACCATTTCTTGCCAATTGCTTTATCTTCAGAGTCCTATGATTTGGCTGCAAATGTTTCTTATTAACTCAGAAAGAAACACCAATTCCTCCACGAACATTATTAGTGAGGACTAAGATAACTTAATTGTTACTTACTTCAAACGTGTTATCACTGAAGAACTTTATCCCAGAAATCCTTTCGAAATAAGGTAGAGGCCATTTCACTATGCTTAAAGGGAAGAAAAGGAGTAACGAAGCCTTTTTGGAAGACAATCCTTTAATAAAACATTGCTTTTCTTTAAAAAAAAAAAAAAAAAAAAAAAAGCCTCCTGCTTATTTTGAGCTAGTATGTTGCGATGGAAGGAAAACATTGCCATTCTAGTCTGTAATAGGCTATTTTACCCACTAAGGAAGCTCTGGGATACACAGATGGCAGCCTGAGAATTTGGGTGAAAGCCCTGACACCATTCACATGACCTTCTCTGAATCACTTAAACTCTAGGTACTTCTCTTATTTTATCAGTAAAACGTGGGTCATAATAGCTGTCTGGTAACTAGGTCATTTAAATCGACCCGTAGATATTAAATAGCTATGATAGGATAAAGCTTGGTCTAGGCCCTGGGGTACGGAGATGAATGAGACAAAGTCTTTATATCTAGAAATTCACAGTCCATAATCCTGTACATAGTAGGCCTCTCTTCTATGTTAGGGGAACCTGACATTCATGTGTAGATTCATTAGTAGCTAACTATAAAGTCAAGACTGAACCTGTAGAGTTGAAATCTAACTGTTTATGTGAAGGGGTTAGTTTTATCTTGCAGCTAAAAAAGCAGACTAAAATATTAACGTAACAAACTCTATTAGTTATCAGTAGCTGTGTTACAATCCATCCCCAAAGTGTAGTGGTTTAAAAAAATAGGCACTTACTGCTCACAGTTTCTGTAAGTCAGAGCCCTTGGGTGGTTCAGCTGGGTGCCTCTGCCTTAAGGTCTTTCCATAGGCTGCAATTTGTTTGCTGGCCAGGGCTGCAGTCTCATCTGAAGGTTCAACTAAATGGAGATCTTCTTCCAAGCACAATCAAATAGCTGTTGGCATTATTCAGTCTTGTGGAGGCTGCTGTACTGAGCACCTTAGTTCCTGGCTGGCTGTTGGCTGGAAGGCATTCCCTCAGTTTCTTGACATGTGTGCCTCTCCATAGGGCAGTACATAAAAAGGCAGCTAGTTTCCCTGAGTAAGAGGGAGTGAGCAAAAACGAAACCACATTCTCCTGTAACCTAATTTTAGAAGTGACGTTTCATCACTTTTTCAATCATCTGTTTACCTGAAGAGAGCCAGAATATCCAGCCCACACTCACGGGGAGTAGATTACACAAAGACAGGACTATTGCAAGGCAGTGATATCTGGGGCCATCTTAGCAGCTGCTTACCATACAAATGGAAGCTACAATGGGTAAAGATCCAACAGCAGCCTCAACCTTATCTCATTATAATGGGTTTGGTTCCATAGAGTATCCACTTTCTGACACAGCAGGGCAGCCCCCTCCACATCTCCACGAGAAACTTCTGTTTCACTTGCAGGGCAAATCTTCTGGGACATAACCACGATGACCTTCCCTGAGACCATTTCATGGAGGTTTCTCCAAAGAGGAGCTATCTCTACACCTAGCAGCTCCCATCATATCCTGAGATGATGGCATTGGGATAACACAGCCCCAGGCCTACAGTCCTAGGAGTCTTCTTCTTTTCCTCTCCCTTCAACATGGATCTCTTTTATTTTTGAAGCCTCAGTTGTGAAATAGAAAGACTGGACAACTCTTACCACATGGAGTTGCGAGGATTAAATAAGAGAAGCAGTTAACAGAAGTGCATATTGTGTATTTCAGATTGTAGGTCCACTATACTCTAAAACTCACCCCTGCTTTCTGGATTTTAGAATGTTTCCAGAAAGACAAATAATCACTGCTCGATAACATGATTATGAGACAAATAATCCTAAGGCAGAAATATGAGCAGGGATTATATGGGCCAATCCAAATGAATGTTGGCTGTAACCTCACATCGGGAGTCTGAAAGTCCGCTATGGTGCCAGACAACCTTTAGTTGCTTGATTTTGGAGTAATGGGGAGTGGGCAAAAGGTAACGTTCCAAAGAAGGCCAGTGTGGCCAGGGCTTGGCACTGGGGGCTCAGAGCAGTAATAAATCATCAACAATTACAAAAGTATTGTCTTCAGTGTTTTAACTGGTAAGCATACAGTGAGGTGTAGAGTTTTACTGATTGCCATCAGCTCTGAGAATGGGCATGGTAGAAATACAGGGTGAAATGACCTGACTTGTTTAGAGGATTTGAGAAAATCTTCTCTGACAGAGACCATAGCATAAAACAGGAAGATAAGTAGAGGTTATAAAGGTGAAAAGAAGGGGGAAAAGCATTTTATCATGTGGGAACTTCCTGTGCAAAGACCCTGAGACTAGAGAAGGCATGACATATTCTGAGATCCGTGGACAATATGGGGACACTAGAGTAGGGAGGACAAGAGACAGACTGTGACCATTCTAAGTCATGGGAACGATTTGGACTTTGATTTTACAGGCTCCAAGGAAAACAAGCCACTGAAGGGATGTAAGCAAAGGCATGATAGTATCAGCTTTTCATTCCAAGGGATCATTCCGGCTAAAGATCGCAGCACATAATCATTGTAAGAATTATTATGAATTTTCCCTGTTTCCCATTGCCATTGCAAACAGAAAGACCCAGTTAGTTAAAGAACACATGGGCTCTGCTGCCTGCCCTCTTGGGGAACACAAACAAAGCCTCTGGACCTTTGGATTCAACCCACCAAAGTCTGGGTCCAAGTCTCCAGAATTAGTCAGGCAGCACAAATAATAGATACCCTACCCCCAATCCCTGCTGCCATGGTCTGAGTAATATTTTAAAGATACTAGCACAAATCCTAATGTTATTTAGAGGATTAAACACTTGATTGGGCCAGGCATGGTGGCTCACGCCTGTGATCCCAGCACTTTGGGAGGCCAAGGCAGGCAAATCATGAGGTCAGGAGATCAAGACTGTCCTGGCCAACATGGTGAAACCCCGTCTCTACTAAAAATACAAAAATTAGCTGGGCGTGCTGGCATGCACCTGTTGTTCCAGCTACTCTGGGCGTGCTGGCACGCACCTGTTGT